CATGAAAAGTATAAACATGAAAAGTATAAACATGAAAAGTATGAGCATGAAAAGTATAAACATGAAAAGTATAAACATGAAAAGTATGAGCATGAAAAGTATAAACATGAAAAGTATGAGCATGAAAAGTATAAACATGAAAAGTATAAACATGAAAAGTATAAACATGAAAAGTATAAACATGAAAAGTATAAACATGAAAAGTATGAGCATGAAAAGTATGAGCATGTTCAGCATCAATACTTAGTTGTTGCTCCTTGTGTCTGGATCACTGGATCACTGGATCACTGCATCAATGCGTCGTGTCATGGAGTGGATCAGTTTGTGTCTCTGCTCAGGTTCTGAGAGTCCAGGTCTCTCTGATCGTGGCCTTCAGCTTTTCTCAATTGTTGTCTCTGCTGTATCACATCTTCCTCTTCACAATACTCCACAGATTTTCTATGGGGTTAAGGTCAGGCCAGTTTGCTGGCCCATTAAGACCAGGGATACCATGGTCTTTAAACCAGGTACTGGTAGCTTTGGCACTGTGTGCAGGTGCCAAGTCCTGTTGGAAAATGAAATGTGCATCTCCATAAAGTTGGTCAGAAGCAGGAAGTCTCTAAAACTTCCTGGTAGATGGCTGTATTGACCTTTGACCTCAGAAAACACAGTGGACCAACACCAGCAGATGACATGGCCCCAAATCATCACTGACAGTGGAAACTTGACACTGGACCTCAAGCAACATGGATTCTGTGCCTCTCCTCTTCCTCCAGACTCTGGGACCTTGATTTACAAATGAAATGCAACATTTACTTTCATCACAGAACAGAACTTTGGACCAGTCAGCAGCGGTCCCAGGCGAGTCACTTCTGATGATGTCTCTTGTTCAAGAGTGGCTTGACACAAGGAATGCAACAGCTGAAACCCTTGTCTTGCATACGTCTGTGCATGGTGGTTCTTGAAGCAATGACTTCAGCTGCTGTCCACTCTTAGTGAATCTCCCCCACACTTTGGAACGGGTTTTGTTTCACCATCCTCTCCAGGGTGAAGTTATTTTGCTTGTACACTTTTTTCTACCACATCATTTCCTTCCCTTCACCTCTCCATTAATGTGCTTGGACACAGAGCTCTATGAACAGCCAGCCTCTTTAGCACTGACCTTCTGTGTCCTGCCCTCCTTGTGCAGGTGTCAGTGGTCGTCTTTTGGACAACTGTCAAGTCAGCAGTCTCCCCCATGATTGTGTAGCTACAGAACTAGACTGAGACCATTTAAAGGCCTTTGCAGGTGTTTTGAGTTAATCAGCTGATCAGAGTGTGACACCAGGTGTCTTCAATATTGAACCTGTTCACAATATTCTACTTTTCTGAGATAATGAATTTGGGGTTTTCATTAGTTGTCAGTTATAATCATCAACATTAAAATAAATAAACATTTGGATCAGTCAGTGTGTAATGAATGAATATAATTTACAAGTTTCACTTTTTGAATGGAATTACTGAAATAAATCAACTTTTTCATGATAATATAATTTTATGACCAGCACCTGTATACTGATCCCACAGAAATGCCACTTTTTAATCATTTTGTGTTCTGGGTTTGAAATAAATTACAGCAAGACATCAGGGTCAAAGCTTCTTAGAAAAGCTCAGTCTTCAGTAAAAGTGGAAGTTTATTCAAGTCTTGCTAGTTATTTTTGGCTTTTTATGTTGCTTCCTGTAAGTTTTTTTAAAAAACTCTTTCAATTAGGAATTATATATATATATATATATATATATATTAATTGCATTGTGGAGCCAAGCTTTTCACCTCCACAGCTACATTTATTACATGTACCTCTGTCCCTAAAGGAGGCAGAAGAATAGCTATTTTCAAGAACAAACCTAATCCAGCTTCCATCAAAGTAAACAGGAAGTGATGCAATGTGCATTACTGAGGACATCCTGTCCCCTGCATCAGTCATCGCTGAAGTAACTTGGCTGTAAACCCAGTGATATCAGATAATATCAGTGGTGTTTCATTGATATTAAAACTCATTTCTTGTATTCTTCAAAAGGTTTTTAATGCGGCAGTGTGTTTTTGTTCTCAGATGGCTGCGATCCAATCGTCATGCAGCCGTCTTCAGCCACAGAAACAACCCAGCTGACCTCTGATGCACACCAAAGCTACAAGACCGACTCATACTAGACACGCACATGTCAGACTCCTTTTTTACAACTCAAAGTGGGAAAGAAAAGGGCAGCAAGAATAAAACTAAGGGAAAGGAAATGGAAACTAAGAAGTGAATAATTGTTTAACCCTGGTCCAGATCAACCCTACAGACCTGACCTGTCTTGTATTAATCAAAAAAGATTCAGAGGTAAAAGTGTTTGTGTCCACTCCCGTCAGGAATGAAGCGACATGTCAGCTGTCGGGACCTGACCAACAGCTTTATCTGGATATGTCGACAGACACGGCTTTTTTCTTCCAAACCTACAGATAGTGAAGCAGAATATTAATGTAGCAGAGATGAAACAAGTTTACACGGAAGGCAATTCATTTTAACAGCTTAATTTTAATCATACAAGTTAGAAAATAAGTTTCAACTCATTAGTTGTACTGATTATGAAACAGATTTCAGTTTGAACCTGTCAGACTGAGCACCAGCACATTCTGAAGACATGTCAAAGCCCTTCGCTCCAAACGAGGCGCCCTTCAGGTGTAGCACAACGCTACGCCATACTTCTAAACTCTCCTCGCTGTTTGACTCTGCCCACTTTTTGTGCATTTTACTTTCTGACTCATTTCGTGTAAAGTTAAAAGCGCTCTCCGTGTCTGTGTGTAGATTTCACTGGAGGACTTTTCTTCCTTCTTTGTCCTGTATTTTCTTTTCATTGTTTCTAGTTTCTGTTGTTTAATGAAGGATTTGATTTCAAAAGTCTTGGTTTTTCCAACAGCAGGTGATTTGTTTGATGTAGATTTTTAACTATCAGTCGTGTCTTTTTGTGCAACAGTGTTCCTCTTTTTGTAGCTTTATGTGACATGAGTAGTTTGGTTGAATAGTTTAATTTGTGTAAAAGCAACATGTCATTGTTCTGATTTGAGAAGTCAGTCATCACATACTCATAGATCATGATAAAGTGCATTAAGGATCAGTTTTTCACTCTTAACTAAGGCTTGCAGAACTTTCAGGGAGTCTGCAGGCTCAGTCTGAGAAACTCATTGAATGGATTCAACCCAGTTTGATTAGTTCTGTCTGGACAATCAGGACACTTCCACCTTTCACATCAGCTACAGAGTGATGGACATCTGGAGAACATGGCCAGGTGTAAATAAGTGTTGCAGCATTATTTATTTGATTTTTTATGTTAGCTTGGTATTGTGAAGGGGATGTATACAATTTTAGATGTGAACCATGTAGACAGTGATGACTACGCAGTAGCAGCTAGAGACAGCTGGAGGATTTCTGTTTTTAGCATGAACTGATTTTTGTTTCTGTCGAGCAGATATGAGTAGATAAATTATGTGTCCCATGTACTGTTGTAAAATTAAACGGTGCTTTTGCTTCAAACTTCTGCTTTTCAGTTTTTTTATTGAGGGAAAAATATGACACCAAATGATGTTAACCTCTTCACCATGGAGTTATCCAGCTGAGTTTCTCTTTGACAACATTTCATCATTGCATCAGTGTAGCTTCCACAGGATGGCACACTCTGGTGGTCCGTTGTGGTGAAGAGGGACTTGATTAAATACAAAGCTGTCTGTTTACCAGTCGGTCTACGTCCCCGACCTCACCTGTGGTCATAGACGAAAGAACGAGATCGTGGATACAGGCGGGTGAAATGAGTTTCCTGTGCAGGGCAGCTGGACTCTCTTAGAGACGGGGTGAGAAGTTCAGTGATCAGGAGAGACTCTTCCTATGACTGTGGGCCATACGGGTCACTGGTGCACATTTCTAGCAGTCACTGTATGAGAGGAGGGGGACACCTTGGACAGGTCTTCAGTCCATCACAGAGACAACTAGTCACACCTAGGGACAGTTTAGAGTTAACAGTTGGTCTAATGTGCATGTTTTGGTCTATGGTAGGAATCCAGAGTGCTACCAGGAGAAAACCTACAGAGAGCGATATGAGAGAACGTGCAAAGTCCACCCAGAATGATCCCCTGCCAGGATTTGATTCAGCAACCTTCTTGCTGAGAGGCAACAGCTCTACCAAGTGTGCCACTGTGCTTCCCTTGTTCTTAAATAATATTCAAAACAAGATGCATATCCACAATCTATATGAGCAAAAGATGCCCCTCTTTAAAAAAGGATGTCCCCCTTGTTCTCATCATCGGGTGGCTTGTTCTGTTGTATCACTAACACTTCTGCTGGTTGCTTGAGGACTGGAGTGATGGAGTTATCAAGAATAATCAGTGAAATGTTTGTAAAAGCTCTTGTGAGTGTAATGTTGAGTGTCCTCGCCTGTCGTGGCCAACAGCTTTGATTCTATATATTCGATGTGTGTCTGCTCATACCTCTGCTGCTCAATGATCCACTCAGCTCCGGTTGGTTGTGACAGCAGTTTATTATCTGCACAAAGTACCGCAGCAGTTCAGTCGTGGATAGAGATCTTGTGGACAGTTAGCATGAGCTCTGTTTTGCCTCGTCTCGAGCAGTCCATGTAATGAGGCGGATCCACAGCTCCCACGACAGCTATACTGTGCAGGTACAACAAGCAACAGCAGATGGCGCTGTTTTGTTCTCAATTTAGTGGAATTTAACAAAAACTCATTTTACCTGTTACATACATCCAATATCAATATTGTCAGTGGCAGAAGGCAACCGTTGTGCTGCTGTTTTAGATGTTTAACTTTGTATTAGCTTAGTGTGTGTCTTTTAAATAAAATGGCAAATAATGCAAAATCAGCTCCAGTTGTACTCTGGTTTCCTCCCAAAGACCTAAATTCAATTCAGTTTATTTCTATAGCTCCAAATCACAACAAAGTTGTCTCAGGGACTTTACAGGAACATTCACATAGAAGCCAATTAGTAAAGTTCTCTATCTAAGGAATCCAGCAGACAAGTTGAATCTTGGCTTCGTTGCAGTCTCCCATCCTGAGCAAATTGTCTATAGGTGTGTGAGAGAGAGTAAATGGTTGGTTGTCTCATTTGTCTTTGTGTCCCAGTGATGGACTGGAGACCTGTCCCGGGTGTCCTCCGCCTCTCAACACAGTGATAGCTGGACATACCATACCATTTTATTTATAGAGCACTTAAAACAGCTACAAGACCAACCAAAGTGCTGTACAGACAGAACAACAGGTAACACACAAAGCAACATACAAAATGAGGTAAATCAGAATATAGACATAAAAACGATGCAGATAATGACGACTAACCAGTGTGGAGCATACAGGATCAAACACAGATCATCTTGTGTTGAAAGCTGCTGAATAGTAGTGAGTTTTTAAACGGGACTTGAAAACCGAGAGGGAGGGGGCCTGTCTGACAAGCAGAGGTAACTCGTTCCAAAGTCTTGGTCCTGCTACAGAGAAGGCCCTGTCACCTCTGCGCTTAAGACGAGTTCCTGGAACTGTGAGGAGCAACTGGTCCGCTGACCTCAGGGAGCGTGGTGGGACATACGGTTGTAGCAAATCAGAGAGACGGGGGGGGACACTGTTCAGTGATTTGTAGACATACATGAGTATTTTGAACTGGATTCGAAAGTGAACCTGTAACCAGTGCAGTGAGGCCAAAACTGGTGTAATGTGCTCTCTTTTGCCTGTACTGGTTAAAAATGGGGCTGCTGCATTCTGGACCAGTTGTAGTCGTGCAATGGAGGTCTGACTGACACCAAACAGGAGTGAATTGCAGTAATCAAGCCTAGATGTAATGAATGCATGTATTACTGTCTCCAGGTTCTTTTTGGACAATATGGGCTTCAGTTTAGACAGCCGCCTCAGTTGGAAGAAGCATGATTTAACAATCATGTTTACATGATAGTTAAGTTTCAGGGAAGGGTCCATTATCACTCCCAGATTAGTGACTCTTTGTTTTTCTGACAGGGTTAGAGCGGAGAGGTCGATGGGAGGGAACAACATGACTTCAGACTTCTTTTCATTGAAACTTACTTAGTTTAAAGCCATCCAGTCCCTGCTGTCAGCCAGGCAGTTGAGCAGCGGTTAAATAGAGCATGTGCCATTGTGTCTTAGGGGGAAGTAAATTTGACAGTCATTGGCGTAGAAGTGGAAGGGCATGTTGTGTTTCCGGAAAATAGCACCAAGTGGCAGCAGGTATAAAGAGAATAGGAGGGAACCCAGGATGGACCCCTGCGGAACCCCCCATTTAAGCTCTGCCTCTGCGGAACTAAAATCCTTGATGGAGACACAAAAGGATCTGTCAGTGAGGTAAGATCTGAACCAATTGAGGGATGACCCTGTGATGCCCACCCACTGCTCCAGGAAGCACATGTCGAGCACATGAATGACCCTAACTGATTATACAAAATACCAAAGTTCAGGCTCAATAATCCAGTTAAAAATCCACAATATACTGTCAGGTCATCTGGATGTTTTCTCTTTTTGCTGAGACGTTTCATCCTTCATCCACATGATCACAAACTTACCAACCAACCAGAAACCTTAAAATCATTGTCTTTTCTCCAGCTACCTTCCTATCACACTCACCATAATAAAACCATCCATCATCTTTACCTGCTTCTTTCTTCCTGGGTCATGGGGGTCACTGGTGCCCATGTCTTACTTCCGGTAAGATGGCGCCCGTGTACATGGCTTGCAATCCACCTCTGTTGATGGTGTTCGGATTATTTTTGTTTTGTTCGTTTTTTATCTGTGATATAGACTCACTACTGATGTATGACCGACAACAGCTTCTGGAACTTCGTTTTTCTGTCATCGATGTCGCTTATTTGGGCCAATATGAGCATACCTCTGGACCCCCTCCCCCCCTGCTGGCGGACGTGCCAGCTTACCTCCGCTGCGCTCCTCACCTCCCTGCCCGGAGACATCGCTTCAGACGCCGGGGAAAACATGCTTGGCGGCTGGTAAAGCTTAAAGCCCTGCGCACTGCATCTTCCTCTTTAGCTGGTGGTCAGGGTTTCCATCGCCAGCTTCCCGCGTGCCCGGACCAGGTAAACAAGGGGAGTTGTCAGCCGGTGCGCAGCTCGGACCGACCCGGAGGGGCTGTTATTGAAAACCTGCGGCCATTGGCACGCGCAAACTTAACCGCTGCTAGCACCACTTTGGACAGTATCCGGATGTGTTTGGTCAACACAAGATCTGTTACCAACAAAACTTTTATCCACAGGGACTATTTTCAAGAGCATGATTTGGACTTTCTGTGCATCACAGAGACTTGGATGTCTCTGGGTGAGTCTAGCGCCTTGACGGAATTATTGCCACAGAACTGTCTGTATTTTAACGCACCGCAACCATCAGGCCGGCGCGGTGGTGGATTATTAACAATATTCAAATCAACTTTTGACTGTAAACAACTGCCCATCCCAGTTTCCATCCCAGCTTTGAGCTGAACGTCTTTGAACTCGGCCACTTGCCTCCGACGATATTTGCACTCGTCTACCGCCCACCTCAGTCTAAGGATTTCATAAATGAGTTTTCTGACTTCTTGGCTGAAATCACACCAAAATATGAGCATGTTTTCATTATTGGGGACTTTAATTTGCACGTGTGCTGTCCTGAGAAGCCCTTGGTTAAGGACTTTTTAGATCTATTGGACTCATTTAATCTAACTCAGCATGTAAACGGTCCCACCCAAGAGCGTGGACATACACTGGACCTTGTTTTAACACGTGATGGGACTGTTAGTAATCTTGAAATTGGTGATAATGTTTTTTTTTGACCACATGCCAGTCCAGTTAGAGTTCACCCTCCCCCATCTAACTCCTAAGCCGTGCATTCCTGCATTTTGCAGCCAGACCATTAACCACTTCACTGCCGCATGTTTCACTGATGTTTATAACTCTGAAATGATAATTCAGCCCCCGGTGTTTCTCACCACCACTGAGGAGCTGACATCCCAGTTCAACTCTTTCTGCTTAAAGACTCTGGATCATGTTGCACCTGTTAAAACCCCAAAATCAAAACTCAGAGCAGAACCTTGGCTGAGTGACATCACCAAGGTCATTAGGCAGCAATGCAGGAGGGCGGAGCGAAAGTGGAGAAAAGACAGGCTGCAGGTCTCTTTTCAAATACTTAAAGAGAGTTGGCGCTGTTATAAGAAAGCAGTGAAAGCTGCTAAATCCAAATACTTCTCTGTTATAATTATCTCACACTCTCACAACACACGTGTCCTCTTCTCCACCCTAAACTCTGTTCTCCACCTCACTGAACCATCACCTCTGGAAGCCTCGACTGAGCTGTGCGACAACTTCTTACATTTCTTTTTGGAAAAAATTGTGACCACCCGGGCTCTAATTTCCCCTCTAACTCATGACCCATCCATCCCACCTCAATCTGTAGCTCCTTTTGACCATTTTGAACCCATCTCTCTATCTTCTGTAGAGCAGGTCATGTGCAGCTTGAAACCGTCTGGTTCCCCCTTTGATGTGG